CAGCAGTGGGAGAGTGAGAGAAGACAGGGGTTGGGCAGCAGGGGAAGGGAAAACCTCCCCCTGGGATAAGCCCTATCTGAGTTCTGTCACTGGCCCTGACACCCTCTCCACCGTGGGCCCAGCCTTATTGCTTATCAGGGTGGCACTGACATCCGCATGCTCATCTGGGCCCTGCAGAGCCTGAGTGGGATTGACAATGGTCAAAGTTGGAGGAGGGGCGACCCCAGGTTCCAGACCATCAGGGTCACCGGCAATGGTAGGGCTGGTGCATGGGGGGTCCCGAGTGCCTCTCTGGGCCAGGCCAGTGGGTAGTCCCTTCAGACATGCCCTGTCAATGGCAGAAAAGGCATAAGGACTCCCCCAGGCTACGTCTACATTGGCCCCTTTTCCGAAAGGGTCATGCTAATTTGACAGGGCGTAATAGGGAAATCCGTGGGGGATTTAAATATCCCCCGCGGCATTTAAATAAAAATGTCCGCCACTTTTTTCCGGCTTTTAGAAAAGCCGGAAAAGAGCGTCTACACTGGCCCCGATCAAAGTAGGAATAAGAGATCTCCGGAAAAGGGCTTTTTTCCGGAGGATCGGGGCCAGTGTAGACGCTCTTTTCCGGCTTTTCTAAAAGCCGGAAAAAAGCGGCAGACATTTTTATTTAAATGCCACGGGGAATATTTAAATCCCCCGCGGATTTCCCTATTACGACCTGTCAAATTAGCATACCCCTTTCGGAAAAGGGGCCAATGTAGACAAGCCTCCCCATTGTATAACATATCCGGTACTGGGGCACCAGAAATGACCATTCTAGGGCTTCTCCTCACCAGCAGCATTTGGATTTGGACCTGCTGGCAGAAGGAGGGGATGTGGTAGAGGGCAGGATCTTTGCAGCCCAGAGAAAGGGAACTCAGGACTAACAAGGGTGGAGAGGAAAGGTAGTATGGTGATGTTAGGGAGGAAGGGAGGAACAGAGGAAAATACCACCTGTACACCCAGGTCCTCCAGAGGCTCAAGCAGGATGTGGACTCCTCCCACTGCCAACCTTTCTCCACTGCCTCCTGGGCAGCAACTTGGGATGCCAAGAAGAATACCACCTTTCTGAACATCTTAGAGGCCACCACCATGGCTGTGTACCCCACCACATGTGCCAATGCCCTCATGTAGGTCTTTATGTTGGGCAAAGCTGGCACCATGAGACCCAGTGCTTCCTGGTCAGGGTGGAAAAGGGGCTGTAGCCGCTGGGGATGGAATTCTGGGAGGCTGTTGATTGTAACCTCACAAGAAGAGAGCACTTCTGTGGGTCAGGAATATGAATCCCCAATGTCTTGAGGGTGGCCCTAGAGTCCTTTAGACTGTGGAGAGGGCTATCAGTTTGTTCAGAAAACAGGCCTGCCTCTTCAAAAGGCAGTCCCTGGTTGGTCATCTGGACCTCTGAGGGGGATAACTGAGACCTGAAGCCAGGAACTAAACCTCAGGATGAGGCCGGTGGCCATGGTGCAGGTAGTGGCATCAGCGGATTCCAGTGTTGCTTGCAAGGCTGCCCAGTAGACAACTCTGCCCTCATTAGATAATGCCTGAAAATCCTGGCAGGAAACTTGGGGTAGCAAGTTTTTAAACCTGTCCAGGGCCAACCAGGACTTGTAAGCATATCTGCTCAGGAACACCTGCAGGGTGGCAATCCTGAGCTGCAGACCACTGGAGGCATAGGCCTTATGGCCTCAGAGATCCATTTCCTTGGTCTCCTTGTTTTTCAGGGTGTGGCCCAGCTGACTCTGCTGATCTCAATGGTTAACGGTCTACACTACCAGCGTACCAGGGGGTGGATGAGAAAAAAGATGCTCATAGCCAATCTGCAGGACAAAACACCACCACTCTACCCATCTATCAGTAGGAGGGATCGAAGTGGGGGGTTGCCACAGAATTTTGGTGATTTTAGCCACCACCTTATTAAGCAGCAGGGCTACTTTCGATGGGGCCTCGAGGTTAAGAATGCCCACAGTTGGGTCAGAGTTCTCCAAAACCCAGTCCACTTAGACCCCAATGCTCTGGGCCAAGTATTTGAGCAGTCCTGATGGGTCCTGGCATCCATGGAAGGCATGGACGGAGACAACCCAGCCAACGCCTCATCAGGGGATGAGGAGGACAACTCGTGAAGGGCTTGCTCCTGAGTCTGCTTGGTGTCATGACAGATCACTGACTGCGATGGTGACTTATGCAGGCCTGGGTCTGCACCACCCTCCGGGGGGGACGGGGGACGGGAGGAGCCTTGGGGAGCCCTTACTGCCAAGTGCCTACAGTTACAGGCCAGGGTGGAAGGAAGTGGGTTAGCGGACAGAGGAACTCAAGGACCAGAGTAAGATAAGCCAGAGTGCGATGGGGGCAATCCCTGGGCTTGGTAATACGTTCACAGGGTCCAGAAGGATCACTGTACTTGAGGCTGCCACTGGGGAGGCCAGGTGGCCTTGAATGGCTGCACAGGCTGCACCGAGGTACTCCGGTACTGGGAGAAAGATCAGTGCAGTGAATGAGAGTGTGAGGCCATTGCTCTAGAGTGCACCAACTCGACATCAGAGTCTGAAGAATACTCCAATGCAGACTAGGCCCGGAGAACAGTGCGGGGAGGTGAGCCATGTCATGACCTCTGGTTTACCCTGGTGCTGAACTGGTGGGGGAGGAAACATATGCCCTGATGCCTGACCCACTAGTGGTGCCATGGAAAAGGACAATGCTGTGGCCTCTCTGGAGCTAGAGGGCACCAACTCTGCCGGTGACGAAGCCGGGGTCAAGGATCCCGTAGGAGCCAAACCTCACTGACCCATAGATACCAAGACATCAGTACAAGATGGTGCACAGGAGTCATATCTGTGTGCAGGCACCAAAGGAGAGACGGGAGGAGATCAACTCACACAATTTCCTGGCTGCCTCAAAAGTGTCTGGAGCTGAGGGCTGTTTCACTTTTGCCAGAACCTGACTGGGCTCGACCAGCACTACATGCGGCTCCAAGTCACACAGGGCCCATTGAGGCTGAGCACTAGAGTGTCCTGACAGAGGACACACTCTATGCATGTGCTGCAAGGGAGATCTGCCCCTGCTAGACCTCCACTTCTTCTGCAGCACTGATGACTGGGAGCGGTGCTGAGCAGCAGAGCACCCTGGCACCGGAAAAGCTCTAAACAGTGCCGGAGTCTCCCGTACCAAGGCTGAGCACTGTAGGTGATAATGCCAAATCACCGGCCGGTGCTCGGCAAAGCATCGGCTCCATGAGCAAGATCTTAAGGCACGAATCTCTCTACCTCTTGGTGCGAGGCTTGAAACAGCAACAAATCTTGTAGTTTGCTGAGAGGTGAGCCTCACCCAAGCACTTGAGACACGTATCATGCAGATCACCATAGGGTATGTGTTTGAGGCACTTTGAACAGGGCTTACAGACCTGGGGACTAGCCATGCCCCAGTAAGGGAAAAAAGAGGACACAACAAGTGAACCCCTACTAACTAAACCTAACTCTAACAGCAAGTGAGTAAACTAGAACTAGAACTTGTACTACTACAGCTATAGAAACACTAAACTACTGAATTCAACTGCTAAGGGGCACTTGCAGAGCAAGTAATGCATATGCAGACACCACTCCAGGGGGCTCTCCTGCCAACGCAATGGGTACTTCTGAGGAGAAAACCTTCCGACAACCCATGCATGCGGGGCGCACACACTTACATGGAATGGACATGAGCAATCACTGGAAGAACAACTAGCCTTCACCCAGTGGAGGAATGAGAAACAAGATATTTACAATTCAAGAAGAGACAATTACTTGTGTTCAGAGAGGCTGACAACTTTTGGGGCCCCTGGACAAGATGCGGGACCCCATTTTTGCACACCTGGAAGGAGCAGGGCCTCAGGCTGAAGCTGGGGGCAACCAGTCTTCGGTGTTATCTAGAGCACATCACACTGATTCCTCTAGCCCCAGCCAGCCATAAGACCTGGCAAGAGCATGCCACACAGAACTCCAGTGTCAATATAAAGGGCCTAGGGCTCCAGTCACCATCACTCCTGCAGTAGCAGTGGCTGGGAGGCCTTGGCCCTTTTGAATAGCCTTGGGGAATATGCCCCCTTGACCCCCATCCCCATCAGCGGGCCTGCTTGTAGAGTATTAATGCCAGATATAATGCCAGAGCAGGATGAGAATAAAAGGGGACACAGCAGTCCCACAGTACAGGTAGTATCCCAGGGGTTTGTCACAGTACCATTGAATGTCAAGAAGCTTCACCATTAAGAATGTCATCACCACTTGCCTCTCGCTTGCTAAGACCCTGACATTTATCATTTTTATGATCCTGAAAGAGATCATGAGCAAATCAGTTGATAAAAAGAAATCAAATGCTATTCAACAGGATCACCTGAATGATGAGTGATAATTAAGATGTGACCCAAAGATTCTTATTATGCTTTCTGGCTCTTCTTTTTAATCTTCTGTCTAAAAAAATTCAGTTACACCAGCTAGAAAGAAACTACTCTTGCTATCATTTGCTATAACTGACAAAGGATGCTAAAAACAATGCTTGAGTAATCTGGTCTATTCAGGCTCAGGAAAGGCTAATAACACCAAATGCCATATCTGTAAATTTGTGAACAATTATGTTGCTAGTAAATAAAAAAAATCATACAAAAATTGCATCTTCTCACCTTTGCTGTTCTTTTCTTTCTCCCTGTGAGTTTGTCTTTTTAAAGACAAAGCAACAATATTGAACTTCAGCAATTCAAGAACTATCACCTGTGAATGACTTCCACCTTTCTCAACACAGGCTTATAGTGTCATCTGAAAAAATATCAAGCAATGCTTTTTCCCCTTAAAAGAGTCTCTATAGCAAAAGGAAATACAAATAAATGATAGGGCTAAGCATTGTTAGCATTGACACAGTTTTAGTGTTATTTTTAATGTAAATACGAAGTGGAGGGGAAGGTTTGAAAATTTTGAATTTGAATAAGAAATGTCATGCTCTGCTAATTTTACCTGTTCCAAGTAGAGTAATGACAGATTAATATATTTGGCTTCTGTCAGGAGCTGGCCTCCAACTCCAGTCTTTGCAACACGCTCTGAACCAGCCAGGTCCACCAAGTGCAGTTTGGAGCGTCGAATAGTTGCAGATCCTGGTTCCTTGCTTGAGATGTGAATGGTGAAGATGCAGTGAGAACGAGTTGAGGCTTGGTTCATTGGAGTCTGTGAAGAAAAGATTACTAACTTGACTAAAGAAAATTGCACAAAATAACTGCAGTAACACCAAGACTGACTAAACTAGATTTATTTATCTTATAAATCTCTGCAAAGAAAGGCCTACGTTGTACCCTATTAATTCCCTTTAGTATACCAGTAACACATATGAGAATTTCCACTGAAATCACTGGGACTAAGGATGTTAAAAATCATGCATTAGGGTAACCGTGTAAATGCTGAAAATCTCAGTGGATACACAGCTACCTGCACTACCGGCTCTGCAGTATAAAGCCTGCAGCGAAGCCTCCCTGCGAGCAGGACTGCCAGCCTCTATTGCAATGAAGCCGCCTCCCCAGGAGTCAGCTGAGTGTAACCGAGACTAATAATGATCGAAATGTAGCCATGTTAGTCTGGTGCAGCTGAAACAAAAAACAGGACTATGTAGCACTTTAAAGACTAACAAGATGGTTTATTAGGTGATGAGCTTTCGTGGGCCAGACCCACTTCTTCAGATCAAATAGTGGAAGAAAATTGTTACAACCATATATACCAAAGGATACAATTAAAAAAATGAACACATATGAAAAGGACAAATCAAATTTCAGAGCAGAAGGGAGATGGGGGGGGGGGGGGGGGGAAGGTAAATGTCTGTGAGCTAATGATATTAGAGGTGATAATTGGGGAAGCTATCTTTGTAATGGGTAAGATAATTGATGTCTTTGTTTAAGCTTAGGTGTAAAGTGTCGCATTTAAGCATGAATGACAGTTCAGAGGATTCTCTTTCAAGTGTAGTCTTAAAAGGTCTTTGAAGCAGGATGCAGGTAATCAAGTCGTTGAGACAATGTCCTTTCTGGTTGAAATGGCAAGAAACTGTTTTTTCTTTGTGATCCTGTCTAATATCTGTTTTGTGGGCATTGATTCTTTGGCGAAGTGTCTGAGACGTTTGTCCAATGTACATAGCAGATGGACACTTTTGGCACATGATAGCATAAATTATATTCTGGATGAGAAGGAATATTCCTTATAACTCACTTGGTTAGGTCCAATAATGGTATCAGCAGAGTGAATATGTGGACAAAGCTGGCAACAGGGTTTGTTGCAAGGGGTGGTTGTCTATAGGAGACTATGGGTCTGTCTCCCAGAGCTTCTTGGAGTTTAGTATCCTGTTCCAGTATAGGCTGTAGTTTATTGGTAATGTGTTGGACAGGTTTAAGTTGTGGGCTGTAAGTGATGACAAGTGGTGTTCTATGGTTGGTTTTCTTCGGTCTGTCTTGAAGTAGATGGTTTCTAGGTATTCGTCTGGCTCTTTCAATTTCCTTTTTTATTTCTCCGGGTGGGTAGTTGAGGTTTATAAATGCTTGGTAGAGATCCTGAAGTTTCTGGTCTCTGTCAGTGGGATTAGAGCAGATGCTGTTGTATCGAAGGAAAATTAATTCTATATAGACTCTCCCTGACGGTCGGAATTACAATCTGGATTTCTATATACAAAGCTTCCGCAACAACACACAGACTAACATTATTCGCAAACGACAACAAGCGACACATACTTTTAGCCGCGATAAACCAGTTCATAAAAATGAACACACTTGGAGTGAGGTGGAGATGGACATAGGAGACTACAACTGAGGAGAGTTGGTAGTTTTTCAAAGGGACATTGGTAAGGGCCCAAAAGCAAGCTATTCCGATGTGTTGGAAAGATAGAAAAGACCGCCTTGGCTTAACCACAAGATCTTGCATGATCTAAAAATAAAAAAGGAGTCATATAAAAAATGGAAAGTAGGACAAATTACAAAGGATGAATATAGGCAAACAGCACAGGAATGCAGGGGCAAGATTAGAAAGGAAAAGGCACAAAATGAGCTCAAGCTATCTATGGGAATAAAAGGAAACAAGAAGACTTTTTATAAATACATTAGAAGCAAGAGGAAGACCAAGGA